TTCTTATTTAAACATAAAGTTCATAGGAAAATCATGTTCGACAGATAAAGGTTTTTGAATCATATGGAACAATCAAGGAGATTAGATCTATAGATGAGCATCGAACTAATTCCAGCTAAGTCGTAAAACTGAATTTTATAACCAAAAATACAGCAATTATCCCTATATTTCGAATAAAATGAAAGCCTGCAAACATTCATCGACCTAAAATCGAAAATGACAACTAAACTTGAACTCTCAAAGGAAATAATCTCCTATGCCCTCTTACAATCTGAATTAGAAGAATCCAATCATGAGAAAAATTAATTCACCCACAAAATATCGCCATTGTGGTACAAATTCAAGACTTGTCGACGGTGTTAACCTCAAGTAAGAACGGGTATAATCTCGCACCCTCAGTGTGTACACTAGCTTTTACATTCGCATGATTTTTCAAACTGGCAAACATTTAGTGGGCGTTTGGACATAATTATTGTAAATTTTCAACAAAAAAAAGTAAAATTATTTTTCAAGTGAAAATAGTATTTAAAAATCAAAATTATGTTTGAACATAAATGTAATTCTGGATCGTTTTGAATGTGATCTAAGTGAATTTTTGAAAACAACTCCTTGGACTCGGTCAAATTTTCGAAAAATTTCAAAATTCATCTCCAAATGAAAATTAAAAATTTTATAGCAAAACACAGATTTTGGAAAAAAGTGAATTTTTCAAAAAAATGAAAATTTTCTTATGTCCAAACGGGCTCTAATAATTACTAATGACGCTAGCAAAATGGTACATTTCAGCTGAAACATGAATTTGACAGCAAATTAAAGTACTACCATATAGTTCTAATTTCTCTAATTATTTTGCTTTTTATTCCATTCACGGTAGAAATTAGATGCAAGAAAAGGAAAACAAAAAGAGCAAGACGGCAGCCGATTGTTAGAGGTATACAAAGCAGGATGTTGTCCAAAGTTTCCCTTGTCAAACATTCAGTCATGCAAAACCAAGTATATTAATTTTTCAACTAGAAAATATAGAGGAGCATTGTACAACAAATATATGACTGAACAAACAACAGGACGCGTAGTCCAAAGACCTTTGCATTTGAAGTGCAAAACACACTGAAGAGATAGTCCAAACAGCCAAAAGAATCATAAAGATAAATGACATTTTCATCAAGCAGCTCTTAGATATAAAACACAAACAACTCAAATTTGTAACAGCCAACCCCTAGTGCATCAACGACATAAATGAAATAAATCAGATTTTATGGAAAATAGTCGAAGACATGCCATACTTTTGTATCAAAAAGTTGAATTGAACAAATACATAATTCCAAGCCTTGCTTATCACAAACAAATAAATAAATGGGCATAAAAAGTAGTAAATGCAAGAAAAGAGACCACTCCCAAGTCATAACCTACTTGTCAATTCTTGAGACAGACCAGTGTTTGCTTGGTAAGTGTCTCAAACCAGATATGTACAAATTACAATCACTAATCTAATCACAAAATGGCTTGTGAAAGGTGTCTCAATCCATAAAGTTACCTAAAATTACATACTTCAAGAACTAAATTCGCCCGGACACCTGGGGCAGACCTCTGCTAGAATGAGATAAAAACTACCAGAGGTCAGGACAAACTTCTTCCTACAAATAGAGATTTCTATCCCTAGCAGTATCATCTCACTAGAAGCTTCGATATCATCTCTATCACCAGACCAGAAACTAGAGTTGGAAGCCAGAGCTCTTCTCTACTACACAGATGTCTTCTAATTGCTAATCTAGAGACCTAAGGTCGAAACAGGATAACATAAATTTTGGAGAACCGAGCACAACAAGCTTCATAGAGAAAACAGAAACAGATTCCTAGTACTGAAATGAGGAAGCAATGTCCTAGACTGTAACAAAGTGTTGAAAGCCAGAGCTCTTGTCTACTACTCATAGTGTCATCCTTAGTGTGAACCTAGAGACCTTCAGTCCAAGGATTGATGACTCCAAAAAAAAGGAGCTGAACTGAATCCTGACAAGCATCATAACAGAAACAAGATGTTGATTCCTAGTACTCAATCTATCAAGAAGAAAGAGTTCAAACACAAGGATAATCCTTTACACGAACAGAAGCACCAATTATGTCCAAAAACAAACTAGCTTAAGAGAACAGGAAGGGAATGATAAGGACAACAAGGAAGCCGAAGAGTCTAGAAGATGACTGAACACAACATCAAAGGTCACTGATTTGGCAGAAAGAACAGAGATACAGCAACACAAAGCAAAAACTAACTTTAGAATTGATGTCAGTGGAAATATTGAGGCTAGCTATGAAAGATAACAAGAAATGAAGAGATGTATGGTGACAAATGTGTTCTAAGTTTTGACAATCAAGAGAGAAGTATTACAAATCTTCGTACATTCACGACAGTGAGAAACCTTAGCTACATTTGTAGAATTATATCTGTCGAAGTAAAGGATGCCACATGAAGAATATGGGGTCAGAGAAATCTGTAGTCTAGACGGTATATTCCAGCAGAGCCTTGGAAATCGTAAAAGTAGTTTGGCCAACCCAGCCATTCAATGTCGCATCAAGGAGCAAGAAGCATGTGAAACGAGTGGAGAGGGTACATTGTTTGATAACAAAGGAGATATTAAAAATTGTATGAACTAGTAGTATTACACTTATGAGTCCTCTATGAACCATTGGAAAATGGTAATATAGTAGACCTAGGGACATTAGAGAGTGATGGAGAACCGGTTTGAAATTGTGTCTGGCAGATCTACAACAGAGTTTATATTTTTCTACTTAAAAGATTGATAGAAACTTATAAGGAGCAGAAAAATCTTTACTGACCAAGAGAAACATAGAATAGAATATCAACAGAAATATTGTACTGGCTACTTGAAAAGATAAATTCAGTTATGTAGCAGGAACAGTCAGTTGGTCAACTACGAGAAACACGAGAGTAGGTTTCAATTAAAAACCACCTTGAAATTGGTTTTTGTTTGCCCTAGTGATGGAACAGCTAACTAATTGGCAATAATATACTAGATAATGTTCCATTGTACATGATATTTGAACGCTATTACGTTAGTTCACCGGGCCTGGATGGAATCAACCAAAAGCTGAAACTATAGAAAAGCACTCCAGAGAGAATTTAGGATAAGCAAGACAAACCATATGCACTGTAAGCTCAACACCCATAAGAAGAATGAAGGAGAAGTGAATTGGATGATTGATGCCTAAATGCAAATAGGTCGAATATCTAGGCTCACTTTACAATGCAAATGAGATGATAGATGAAGATGTCAAACATTAAACTAAAATAGGATGGCTGAGATAGAGCAATGCTACACAGTGACTCACAAGTTCTACATGAAAATTGTAAAACCAGTAATGTTATATGGGAGTGAAGGTGGGCATCTAAGTTCTCGCCTATATACAAGATGAGTGTCATAGAAATGGACGTTAAGATTGATGTGTAGTCAAAAATGATTGGACAATATTATTACAAATAATCACATCATACAAAGTGTGCAAGAAGCACACAGAGAGATCGAAATAAAAAGACGCATGAGATAGTTTAGCCATGTCCCACATAAACCTCCAATGTACTGGTCAGTAAGTATAACATTATGGTGACTAAAGGTGCTAAAAAGGAGAAAGGTAGACCTAAAATTGATCTCAAAAGAACAAGAATCTCCCGAAATATATAAGAATTTAGGTAAGAGAAAACATAATGGTGCAATGAATTTATTCAAGAGATTTCAGTTAACTGGAGCTAATTCTTAGTTATTGTTGCACCTTACGGCAGGTCCGATGTTTGCTAAGTGTCTTTTTAGAATCATTAGAGACTAGTCAGTGAATGATAAGTGTGAAGATTCAGATAACCTTTAAAATGCTTTGGAATACAATTTTACCAGTAAGGGAATGAAATAGGCCTGAATAGAACGGACAAGATGCAGAGGATTCGTATAGATGACGCTTACTAGTTTAGAATTGATACATATTGATTGATAGATTGAAAATATTGATGCAAGCAAGTTGCAAAAAAACTCATGTCTTACACTGAGACATGTTACTGAGTGCTCAACGAGCTTTCACCAAGAAAAGATGAAACGAACAAACATTATCCACAAAAAAATGAGATGAACAGAGCACAAAGAAAAAAAGGTGTGCAGAAGTGTCTCTACTTTCCCCATTGAGACTAAATAGACCTTTGGATGAAAGCTTTAGACAGGAAAAAGACAAGAGACTTGGGAATCAATCTCTAAGAAGTTCACTTTTTTAGAAAGAAAAGGAACTAAAATTTCTAAGAAATTTCCTTTGCTAGTACCAAGATAATTTTGGTAACAATTAAATAAAAGAACAAAATAGGTGGCATATATATATATATATATATATATATATATATATATATATCACAACTTTTTTGTTTGTAATTCCTTTGGCTCCTAAATTTAATGTCTGGTCTAGTCTTCCTAATTGAAGATCTAGGCTGTTAGTGTAAGATAGATGTCTTCCCTAATTTTTTTTAGTAAAGAGAATAGATGACCTGAAAGATTCTGAAAACAGATACAAGATAGCGAAGAGATGAAGGGGATTGCATCAGATTAGATTAAAACATATATTCAATTAGAAGTCATGGAAGCAACTGGCAATGGAAACTGTAGATCCATGATTATAAGCAGCAGCAATAACTTCAAGCCCAAGTTAAGCACAAGAGATTTCTTTCTTTAGAAGGTCTTGAGAAAGAATCGTAAATTCAGAAATGCTCCCTGATAATTAGGAAATGCCTAATAGTGCTCATGCACACAGCAGAGGATTCACCTTAACTCGTAGGAAGAGCATATAAACCACATGTCATCGTATCAGCAAGACAGGATCTTACTGAAGAAGCTGAGAGCAAAGAGGAATCAGCAACAAGATACTGAAATTCCATGCAATGTGAGCTCGACAACTGATAATAGCTAAAGTTCCGTATAAAGTTAAAAGAGCATGGGAGAGTAGGAGAAATTTGGAAGCCATAATGCCCAAAAGATAAGAACTGATGAAAGACCATCAAAGGAAAGACAATGCCCTATGAAGTTCTAACCCAGAGCAGATTGAAAAGAGCCTGTCAGGCAACATGGCTGAACCTAAATAGGCAGAAAACAGAACAAGCGGTCCAACTTTATGAACAATCTTTGCAAGCGTTCCTACAGAGAAGAAATGTATCAAACCTACGCAATGACACACTCTCCAGCACGAGAACCTACCATATCCTAGAGAGGAACTTCTGAAGAAGGAACCTCGACATTTAGTCAAGGTCACACCTCCAAAAAGAGATGTGTCCTTATTGCTCAAGTGGCCATTATGAATGCCTGAATCAAGTTTTCTGCAGCACGCTTCTGTTCATGTGTACCAGATATTATAGCAATTTGATCACCTCGAGAGGATTTGGAATCAATTATGTCCACAGCTGCTCCGGATATCTGCAAGAGGACCCATGACTTTAAGAAAGCAAGCCAACCATATCAGAATAGTAAGATACAGAACTTTGAATACAAGTAGTACCTAAGGATTCAAGATAAAACAACTACTCCCTCCGTTCCAATTTATGTGAACCTGTTTGACTGGGCACGGAGTTTAAGAAAAAAAGAAAAAATGAAGACTTTTGGAATTTGTGGTCCTAAACAAGTCAAAAAGGGGCCCAGAGTATTTGTGTGGTTATAAAAGCTTCTCATTAAGGGTAGAATTGTAAGTTAAGCTAAATTGTTTCTAAATTTAGAAAGGATTCATTCTTTTTGGAACGGACCAAAAAGGAAATAGGTTCACATAAACTGGAACGGAGGGAGTAGTATATAAAACCCAAATATGAAGGCATTCATGCAACACACACACACAAAAACAAAAAAGTTCATTTGTTATTTTTCTTCTTCGGGTTGAGGAGGCTGCACATACCAAAAAGGTTGTTACAGGAAAGTGTCCGTGACAATAATAAACAGCCTTGACTACAATAATGTAATTGACATATCAAGAGTAGTAGAGATGCAGGATGAGGTATATGAAGATAGTTTTCACAATTTAAAGGCCAGACCGTTTCAACAACCATGTAAACTTGACAGTCAAAGAAAATAAGTGACGGTCATAAAATCAAGTTTCAAACAGGGCCCAAAAAATTACTGACCTTGCGAATATTATCTATGTTTGAGCCACCTTTACCAATAACTTTACCAACTGCATGTCCAGGGATAACCATCTCTAGAGCTGTGGGTGGAGGCGGTCTGCTCAAAGACATGATATAGCTCAGAATAAAATGACATAATGCTTCAGAAAAAAAGAAAGATAAATTAATTGATCATCATAAAGTACTAACCCGCCATATATCTTTGAGGAATATGAAGAGTACGCTCCATAGCCATCATCCCCCCTCTTCCAACAGAAAAAACAGTGTAAATAAACATTCAGCAATAACGGAAGTTAAGAGAATAAATGATGCTGAACAGTATTCAGCAAGAAGCAGAATCCATGGAACCACATCTAGATATCATAAATGTATACAAAATTCCAGCCAAAAGATTAAAAAATAAATAAACTAACAAAGTAAAGGGGAAAAAAGTTAGCGGGGCGGGGCGGGGCGGGGCGGTGGACGCTGGTGCGGAGCGGGTGAACGCGGGTGAATTTGCTATGCGGGTCGGGTTGAAATTTTGCGGGTTAACAAAAAACCCGCCTCGCACCCGCACCGCTTGCCATCCCTAACTATTCCAATAAAAATGAGTACACTACACCCCATTCGCTGCATGATGAACTCATGAATGACAATGAACCTTCTACTTTTTTGTATTTCTTTCACGCCTTACTTTCCTTTGGGAAGGAGTTTATTCTTCTTTTTGTTTGTTTTGGAAAACTTTTTCCCTTGTCATCAAGAATTCACCGACAGTCAATTCTCAACCATGGGCCATGAAGCAAACCAGTTGTAGATCTTCCCATCCAGCGGACCAGCTCAACTGTTGATGTTAATATGTTCTCACACAAAACTAGCAGTATCCTCAAAAATCAGCTTCAAACTGAAAGCCTAATTAGGCCTCATTTGTTTGCACTTAATGGAGGTCTGAATCTTAATCATTCAGATCTCACACATTAAGTGCGTTTGTTTTTAAAGTCTGAATCTTAATTATTCAGATCTTAATCATTAAGTGTGTTTGTTTTTTTTACTTCACAACCACTTAATGGGTCTGAATAGGTCTGTATGATTAAGATCTATAACAGAGACTTAATTTCATTAAGATGCTATCACATATTCATTAATAACTGACGCCACCGCCTACCATTATCAACTACCACCATGCCGCCACCACCACCATACTCAACCACCATCACCACCCCCACCACCACCACCACGCCACCATCATCCTCAATCATAGCCGCCACCATTATCGACCATCACCACCCATTATCCCCACCACTCCGACCACCATCATTCTCACCCACAATCAATACTCATCCACCTCAACTACCACAACTGACCACCCCATCACCATCAACAACCACAGCCGGTACTGCCCATCTTATAACCTACCACCACCCACCCACCACCGTCCTCACTAACAACTATTACCACCCCCCGCCATTATTAACTATCACCACCCACCACCACCATCCTCAATAATAATCGCTACCACTACCAATCACTACTAGCTACTAGCATGAACCACCATCATCAACCAAAACTACCACCAACCACCGCCTCTAGTCGACATTCACCTGTTAGCCATCACCACCAACAACTATCATATTTTAAAAAACTATATATTTTATTGATAGAATATTAGATTAGTTAGTATTTCATTTGAATTTTATGTTTATTAATTTTTAAATAAAGATAAATTTTATACATTCAAATGTTAAAAATCAAACAGTCTTAATTATTTCTATTCAGATCTTAATACACATCTTGATATATTCAGATTTGTATCCAGATTCAGATGTCTTAATCTTAATACACATCTTGATATTCAGATGTGTATTCAGATTCAGACGTCTTAATCTTAAAAAAACAATTGAGGCCTTACCCTGATTAAATTCCTTACTCTTTCCATATGAACCATAAGAACTCTCAAGCTATTTCTTTTTTTTTCTTGGGGGTGGTGTGGGGGCAACAGAATTCTCAATTATCTATCAAGCCAATTCTTCTACTAAAATGACCATTGCAACCTCAATGCTTACCATTTAAATGACTCTTTTTATGACACAACTTTAGTGATATTAACATATTATATGGTTTCTCTCCTTTGCCAAAGCAAGATAACTTTAGTCTACATTACTTCATCAAGTACCATTCAGACATTCACCAGTTCCAAATGCTTCATTTCTAAATCAACTTGTAGCAGCTATTTCAGAAAATTAACAGAAAATGAAGAGAGAAAAAAATCAACTGAAGATGCACTTATAAGGCCACAACTTGATTAAGAATGGAGTTTGAAATGCCCAGATGCACCATAGCATGAAATCAAACTTTGTGGAAGGCAAGTAATGCAGAAGTATACCGAGAATGACTCATGACCATAGAGGCTGCCCGAAGAACGCATTCCAAGGCCATTCCCAGTCTCACCCCTGTGTTCATAGCTCAAAGAAGCAGTTGGAGGAACATTGGGCAAAACTGGAGCCAGTGAATGACCAGTACCACCAGCGCGTAAAGAATCAGCACCGGCAGATGGATTAAAATTACCTTCTCGGCCTTTCAGAACATCATCTCTGAGCCTCAGTACAATCTGGATAAGGGCATCCCTCACACTACTAATTTCCCCAGCCACCTACGTTTTTATAATGATGGTCAGTGACTCGAGGAAATTTACAGATAAGCAATTAAAATACAACTCAATTGATTACAACTAATATGAAAGACAGACCTCAACAAGTTCATCGTTTGAATCTGCACATTTGGGCTTCTGGCCTTTCGAGATACGTACATCAGCTCTAGTTCTCTTCCGGATTTCATTAACGATTGAACCACCTTTCCCAATGATACATCCAATGATCTTTGATGGAACAAGTAGACGAAAAGTTACACTATCCTCATCTTCATCATTTATTTTCCCTTGCAGCAGCAAGACAGCTTCAACTGCCATGGATTTAAGATCATCCACTGACTACAGAAAACCAAATGCTGAATAAGGTTAATACATGGAATACAAGACACCCGAGATAAAACAAACTACTTTGATATAAAGCTAATTGCAAAAGCTACATAAACAGCCAACTAAATACAGTTACCATATCAAAAACGACAAATCGATACTATCCACCTCCACAGCAATCTACACATTTACCAATTGGAAGACCCGTTACTGGCTTACCATGAAAGACCTCAAAGTTTAGAAGGGAGGAAATGTGCCTAGTATTTTGTTTCCTTCTAGTAAGGATAAACACAAGAAAAAATGAAAACCTATCAGCAATGGTTACTCTGTGAAAGTTTGTTTCACAATGATCTAGGAGAAGAAAAGCACATGCAAAGACAGTACCCCATATTAGCAGGAGAGGTAAGCAATGCATTGTACCTAAAAAAAGAAGGCAGTCTACTAAAAGGTCAAAATGTCACCAATACAACCACCAAAGAAGTCTGGAGAAAAAAGCAATACCTCAGTGGAAATGACTGTGATGATGCACTGATCGCGATCAGCTTTGGCATCACCAACCTCAATACGAGCACCACTTGCTTGCCGTACACTTTTAATAGAAGCTCCTCCTTTTCCAATAACACGGCCAATATTGTTAGTTGGACACAACACTCTAATAGTCAATTCCTCAGTTTGAGAGGCACCACCACCATAACCAGAAACCATGGGAAGAGCAGGAGAATAAACCGGCCATGCGCTTCCTGCATCTACATAACCTGGAAGCTCTGGTATGTGTGTGGTGCCTAAAACAGATGGAACAGATCTAGATGGGATAATAGGATCCACATTTTGATAAATCCCAGCTGCTGGATATATGGGAACATCTGAAGGGATAATAATGCTTGGACGAACTTCAGGAACATTAGTATTAAGAGGAATATCTTCCTTAGGTGTGAACTTGTACATGATTGCAGAAACAGCAAAGAGCGATTTCTTTACTGATTCTGAGTCACCAGTTATCTGAGTTAAAGTAAAAAGCTGTCAATTCATGTATCAACTACAACACTTAAACACCGAAATTTCAAAAAAAAAAAACATTTTCTTGATAGGAGCAAATATAAATCTATAAGCTTTGCCTAATGCACTAACACTATTTAACTATCAACGAACAATAAAAACAACTAACCAGAACGAAGTTATCAAACTCGAGAGCACAGGAATGTGTTGGATCGCTAGCATCTTTAGCAATAACTTTAATATTAGCCCTCATCTTGCTTCTCAACTTCTTTATGGTGGTACCAGATTTACCAATAATATTTGCAGACTGGCTTGATGGAACAAGAAGCTGACACTCCTCTTTTTCCTTACGCTTCTTATCAGAATCTCCAACAGCTGCCAAAGCATTTGCAATTGCCGTATAAACCCTAAGAAGAGCATCCTGAGCAGAGCAAAGAGGTTTTTTCTCATTGAACTCCTCGTCAACCTCAACATCTTCCTTTTCTTTTACATAGCAATAAATGGTTATAACTCTATCCTTAGCACCTGGAAATGGGTCCACCACCTTGACCTTCGCCTTGGTCTCGGCTCTAATCGAATTTATAACTTTCCCACTCTTTCCAATAACACTACCAATCACATTATCTGGGCATAGAATTCTGTACACTACTAGTTCATCATCGCCTTTCTCATCTCTCTCTGTCCTCCTCTTCTGGTTCTTGCTATCCCCGTCATCCCTACGAGATCGTTTTCCAGTCTCACCCATAATTTACTACAAGAATTAGCCCAAAATCCACCACAAAGTTAATAAACATAATTAACCAGTTATACAGAGTCTTGATAAACAGAAAAAACGCAACCAACACAACTGCTTAAGTATTACACATTCCAAAAAATATGATTTTCAGAGCTGACTATTCCGCCAGGTATCTGCTAGTCCCCGCCAGCACAGATACCGGGCTACCACCAAGGTTTAGGCAGGTAGGAAGAAATCACCTACTATTTTTTGCCTCATCTGAGATTTGAGGTTCTCCTCCCACTTCATTGACTACTCAGCCACACTTCCATGTGTAGGCACTTCCACACATCTTGAAGAGGAAATAGATCAATAGTGAAAAACCCCAAATAGCAAAATCAAATTTTCACAATTTTTCCCTCTTCCATCTTTCTCCTTAGTGATTAAGCACATGATAACAAATATTAAAAATTACAAAAATAAATTGCTCATCAACTATGCCTCAATACTTTTAAGTCAAGTCAGCTATATGAATCCTTTGTAATAGGGGAAAAAACACATCGAATTAGATAAAAATCGGTCCCATCAAAAATAAATAAATAAATTGGAACTAATCTTGAAGAACTAAATAAATTAAGGGGCAAAGCAACATAGCACATACAAAACCCTAGCTACTAAAAAGATCCAAAAGAGAAAAGCACCATAATCTACAAATTAAAAAGAAAGTAGACAAAATTAGAGTATAAGGGCCATAAAGAATATGTACCTAAATTGGGTTAATGAAGAAAAGAGTTACACAATTAACTTGTAGCAAAAACCCTAAATGTTGATATGATTCAAGTGTATAAAGAATTTTAGGTATATGTCAAAGATAAGCGAGAAGGGGACTGTGGGGTTTTGGGGTGGGGGGAGACAAAAGCTGCGTACCTGTAAGATGAGTAACGAGGTTACTGTGAGAGGTAATATTTCACAGATTAGGGTTTTTTTAGTTTTCGGACCGGTTTGGTTGGTTCGGTGTTCGGGCTTCTTCTTTGAATTGGATAGGACTCGGATACTATAAACTGCATAAAGAGAATGTACTAAAGAGGATATTTTATGAGTTGGAATTCCAACTCGTGATACTACTATGTACTAATCTTTGGGCACCGACCAAAAGATATCAAAACTTTTTTGATTAAATCAATTAATGATAATGATGAGGTAAATCTTAGCCAAGCATAATAAATTCTAGATCTAAAAATGAATCGGAAAATAATGAATAAAATAAAATAAGAGCGATCAATCTTTATTAATGTTTGTTATTTCCTCTTTCATGAAACAGAGAGGATGATCAATTTTGCGTCCTTTTCAAACAGAAATTGCAGGAGAAAGAAAAGAGAGAAAAAGAAGCCCCCTCCTCTTCGAGAATTCTCCATCTATATATAGTTCTGGGGCCTTTGCTATATTCTTTGGCCGATGTGCCTTCACGCTACGACCTTTTCCGTTGTTACTTGAGTATTGTTTTTAACTTAACGACATTGTATGTGCTTGGACTGAAGTAGGTCGTGATGTCTCTCGCTATCCCGCCACTTAGGCGGGATCCCAGCTGGGTCGACTACTGTGGTTAGATTTTTGACCTATACAGTTAGTCCCTCCGTCTGTGGGTGTTGTCTCTTGGTGGGCCTGGCGGGCGGATTATAATTTTGAACACTTAGGAGAAATCTGACTGTTCATGCCTTGGGCGTAGTTTTAGATCGAGACAATGACACGACGCTCAACGATGCCATTGGACCGTTGGGACCGTTCGGAACCGGAGCGTTGTTCAAATCGAAATGTCGTTCGTGCTTACTGTCACGTTTCCTGGGGATTGAACCATTTCATGCCATATCAGTTTCGATTGGCGACTCTTCGGTTTCCCGCTTGGGGAATTTATGTCCCTATAAATAGAAGAAAAACACCATTCGATTGGCACACTTTCTTGCCTTTGTTGAAAGAGTTTTGTGGATCTTCCTCTTTTCCGATACTTCAAATTTTCGATTCTCTCCGGTTAGCCAGAAATTTTCGTCCCAGTCTCTTCTTTTTTCTTAATCCCTTTGTTCTATTAAATCGATATAAATGGTTGGTAGTTTTTCCCGCGCTGACAATCCTGCCGCAACTCCGGCACCGGGAAGTGATGTTCCTGATCCCGGAGGAGTAGAAGTGATAGAGGATGAGGGGGTTCCGACGGTGGCCGAAATATTGCCTCGCCTTGGAAAGCCGTGGAACGATTTCCACAGTCCTGCCGAAGAAGAGCCGGAGCCTGCTTCCTCTGTTATGACTGAGTCAGGGATTGCGGAGCTGAAGGCCAAATGGGGGATCCCTCACCACGTTGAAATGCTACCGGCGGTGAGAGACGATATTATACATTTCGATCGCCCGAGATATTGTGCATTTTACGCCTATCCCTTTATTGTCGGGTATACGCTTTCTCTCCCTCTCTTGGTGGTAGATTTTTGCCGTTTCTACGAGGTGTGTCCGGCTCAACTTTTGTCGTACTTGTATAAATTGTTCCTTATGCTGCTCAAGTTCGTGGAGCTTGCTGGTCGGGATATCACTCTGAAACACATGCTCAATATCTTGCCCCTTAACTCATTCGAGGCATGATGATCCACATGCGACATCGAGGGACGAAGAGTCTGGTGGTGAAGATGGACGACAGGGCCAACCATCGCTTTTATGAAAACTATTTTTATGTGCGGACCAAGCACTTTGTGGCGGATCCCGCGGGGTTTCCCGAGAAATGGAATTTTGCACGTAAGTTTTTATATCTTTTGTCAAAATAATAGCCGATCGCTTGTCTTTGGGCAGTATTAGACTGCTTTTGTTTTTGCAGTCGCGAGACTACCCTCCATGCCTGTTGACGACATTCACGAGTGGGTGAACACCATCCTTCCTCATATGGCGGGAGTTCGCGCATGGTCGTCCTTCTATGAGAAATATGGACGCAAGCCCCTTACTGGTAAGTAATGTCGCAGTTTTCTGTTTTCCACTTTACTATTTGACTTTGTTGCTTATACGACTTTTATCGATGTTAGGGAGAGTGCGAAGGGCGAGGGCTCCTCCACTTGCATTTCGTCAGCCGACGTCATCCGCTCGGCCCGTCCCAGGGTCTGCTGCCCGACCTTCGGCGAGGGCTGCTCAAGTTGAATCTACGGCCATAGCCGTGCGCACGGAAGCTGCTCCTCAATCTGGGGCTCCGACTCCTGCTACCTAGCCAACGGGGGAATCTTCCCATGCTGAGGACGGCGAAGGGCCGTCAAAGAGGCGACGAATGGAGTCCGAAACGGCTCCTTCAGTCGTGGTATATTCAGAGGGTGGTCTCCCGTTGACGGGGTCTGAGGCGGGAAACGATGCTAACCTGTCTGTAGAGGTAGAGCCAGTCACCGTGACCATCCCGTGGACAGAGACTCTGGCCGTTATTATTGACCAACAGACTACTGCGATGGGGAGTCAAAATCCTGAGGCTGTTGTTACTTCTTTGGGCGGGCCTTCATCTTCTGGGCCGGGTCGTGCTTCTTCCTCGACCGCAGAAAGGGGAAAAGGTGTCGTGGTCGATGACTACGAATCTGAGTCTGATCTTGATCCTGATGACATTAGGATGTTTAAAGAGGGCCTTACTCGTACGGTGGTACATGCGGGAGGCCCGTCCCGTATACTTGAAATCTCGTCGGATATTAACCTCTCAGGGGATACGAAAGACCTGGTACCGCAGTTTGACCTTTTGTGTTCTACAGCCAAGAGTAAGGCTCTCCGGTACGTCCGGGACGTTGATTTGATGCATGAGGTGGCCGCTATGGTCCTGAGGGTAAGTTTCTTCTTTCTTTTATGTTCTTTTCATCTTTGGCGACCTTGGCCTTAACGAATTTGTTCATCTTTCAGACATACATGGTGGAGATTGAGAGTGCCCGTAGGTGTATTGGGGAAAATTTGTATTCATTTATATATATGATGACGTGTCTTGACACGTGGAATGGATAATGAGTTGTGATTTGCCACGATTCAAGAGTTATAAATAGGTACGGGTAGAAAGAGGCACGAGACGAGAGGCTCAGCGCCCCGTTCCTGTTTAAGCTTATTTACATACGAGCAATGAGAAGAATGAACCTGGCTAAAGAAAAAGATGCAAATACGGCATTTAAAGGGTATTAAATGCTGGAGCTGTTAAGGAATATATACATTCAATGTAATGATTATGTAACGTAGCATTTAATGTCATTAATCACTCATAATAGCTTCATTATGACTTAGGCATAACGTGCATCCCCAAAGATTCCCAAAGGGACCTATAAAAGGAGGAATATGTAATCACTGGAGGGACAAGTGACTATTGAAATATACTCTGATTTACCAGCTTTCATACTTGGCTATTCTAAAATTTCTTTCTTTATTTACTTTTTCGATTATCAGTAACCCGATTCTTCTAATTTCTAGCTTTGACTAAAAATCTATTTTTTGGTTAAACAAATTGGTTCCGTTACCGGGAATCTGATAATCAACTATACCTCAACCTGATTTTCTTGATTGCATCAATCACGTCGAACAACAATGACAACACTCAAGGAAACCCAGAAATTCAAACAATCCAAGAACTTCAGGGAGACTCTCCACGAGGCTCTCCACAAGGCTCTCCACGAGGCTCCCCACGACGGTCTCGTGAAGGCACTCCTGATGGATCTCACACAGATGGACAGGCCCAATTCGAAAATGTTGAAACCATGAATGAGGCTTTGCAAAAATTTATTGCCTCTCAAGTCAATAAAGCTCTTCAGGCTTTTGTTAGCCAATTACCTGCTGCTCCACCCACACCTACTCCAAACAACAATACTTTGGAGAATCCTCATTCTGGATTGGTTAATTCAGGCAGCGGTGGAACCCCTAGTGAAACACAAGAGGGAGACCCAGGTAATCCAGTTAATTCTGATTTACAAAATCTAGTACTAACCTTGCAGAAATAGCTTAAGGAGCAAAATGAACGCATAGAACAAATACCCGAAATATCGCCCGTGATCAAGGGAGTAGATATAGATAAATATTCCCAACAACCATGGAAGCCAAGTGCTGCCCCCCTCCCAATTCTAAAGAAGTTTAAGATGCCTGATATTCCAAAGTACGACGGTACATCAGACCCACGAGATCATGTTACTGCATTTACAACAGGAGTCAAGGGCAACGATTTGACTAAGCAGAAGATTGAATCAGTCTTGGTCAAAAAATTCGGTGAAACACTCACTAAAGGGGCACTAACATGGTATTCTCTCTTACCTGAAAATTCTATAAATTCTTTTGCTGAGCTTGCAGATTTATTTATCAAAGCACATTCGGGAGCTCAAAAAGTTGAAAAAAGAATGGAGAATATCTTCAAAATCAAGCAAGGAGATTCAGAGCTGCTCAGAGAATTCGTGGATAGATTTCAACGGGAAAGAATGACATTGCCACGAGTACCTAACAATTGGGCAGCCATAGCCTTCACCAGCAATTTGAATGAGAAGAGTTCAGAAGCCACGAGGCGACTCAAGGAAAGCCTTCGAGAATTTCCAGCAACAACGTGGAATGATGTCTACAACAGATACAGTACAAAGATAAGGATTGAAGAAGACATTATTTTACGACATAAAACAGAAGAAAAGGTAAGCTCAAGGCGTGTGGAAAATGAAAAGAGATCCGGTAAAAACAAGTACGAGCCATACATAGGACCTGCGGGAAAAGACTCACGATCAAGGCAAGATAATCAAAGGTACGATCACAAACCTAGAAACAGGGAATCAGGCTCCTCATCGAGGTTCGGGAATGATCGGAACACACGCGGGTAACGAGACGATGATGGAAGTCTAAAGGCAAGGTTCGGTGGATAAAACTTCAACGTAAGTACCTCTGAACTCGTGGCTGTTTTAAGAAGCATGGGA